GCACAAGGAAATGAGAAGTTCAATTTTTCCACAATCATCTGCTTCCGCTGCACGTACTTACAATTACACTTAACTCACTAAAATGAAATATTACTTATTTCTATTAACGTGTGCGATGCTCAGAGGAGGGAGGCAGCGTCGGGACCTGACAGTCGTGGGTCTATCGGGCGGTGACATTATAAGTCACAACTGACGTGCACAAGGAAATGAGAAGTTCAATTTTTCCACAATCATCTGCTTCCGCTGCACGTACTTACAATTACACTTAACTCACTAAAATGAAATATTACTTATTTCTATTAACGTGTGCGATGCTCAGAGGAGGGAGGCAGCGTCGGGACCTGACAGTCGTGGGTCTATCGGGCGGTGACATTATAAGTCACAACTGACGTGCACAAGGAAATGAGAAGTTCAATTTTTCCACAATCATCTGCTTCCGCTGCACGTACTTACAATTACACTTAACTCACTAAAATGAAATATTACTTATTTCTATTAACGTGCGATGCTCAGAGGAGGGAGGCAGCGTCGGGACCTGACAGTCGTGGGTCTATCGGGCGGTGACATTATAAGTCACAACTGACGTGCACAAGGAAATGAGAAGTTCAATTTTTCCACAATCATCTGCTTCCGCTGCACGTACTTACAATTACACTTAACTCACTAAAATGAAATATTACTTATTTCTATTAACGTGTGCGATGCTCAGAGGAGGGAGGCAGCGTCGGGACCTGACAGTCGTGGGTCTATCGGGCGGTGACATTATAAGTCACAACTGACGTGCACAAGGAAATGAGAAGTTCAATTTTTCCACAATCATCTGCTTCCGCTGCACGTACTTACAATTACACTTAACTCACTAAAATGAAATATTACTTATTTCTATTAACGTGTGCGATGCTCAGAGGAGGGAGGCAGCGTCGGGACCTGACAGTCGTGGGTCTATCGGGCGGTGACATTATAAGTCACAACTGACGTGCACAAGGAAATGAGAAGTTCAATTTTTCCACAATCATCTGCTTCCGCTGCACGTACTTACAATTACACTTAACTCACTAAAATGAAATATTACTTATTTCTATTAACGTGTGCGATGCTCAGAGGAGGGAGGCAGCGTCGGGACCTGACAGTCGTGGGTCTATCGGGCGGTGACATTATAAGTCACAACTGACGTGCACAAGGAAATGAGAAGTTCAATTTTTCCACAATCATCTGCTTCCGCTGCACGTACTTACAATTACACTTAACTCACTAAAATGAAATATTACTTATTTCTATTAACGTGTGCGATGCTCAGAGGAGGAGGCAGCGTCGGGACCTGACAGTCGTGGGTCTATCGGGCGGTGACATTATAAGTCACAACTGACGTGCACAAGGAAATGAGAAGTTCAATTTTTCCACAATCATCTGCTTCCGCTGCACGTACTTACAATTACACTTAACTCACTAAAATGAAATATTACTTATTTCTATTAACGTGTGCGATGCTCAGAGGAGGGAGGCAGCGTCGGGACCTGACAGTCGTGGGTCTATCGGGCGGTGACATTATAAGTCACAACTGACGTGCACAAGGAAATGAGAAGTTCAATTTTTCCACAATCATCTGCTTCCGCTGCACGTACTTACAATTACACTTAACTCACTAAAATGAAATATTACTTATTTCTATTAACGTGTGCGATGCTCAGAGGAGGGAGGCAGCGTCGGGACCTGACAGTCGTGGGTCTATCGGGCGGTGACATTATAAGTCACAACTGACGTGCACAAGGAAATGAGAAGTTCAATTTTTCCACAATCATCTGCTTCCGCTGCACGTACTTACAATTACACTTAACTCACTAAAATGAAATATTACTTATTTCTATTAACGTGTGCGATGCTCAGAGGAGGAGGCAGCGTCGGGACCTGACAGTCGTGGGTCTATCGGGCGGTGACATTATAAGTCACAACTGACGTGCACAAGGAAATGAGAAGTTCAATTTTTCCACAATCATCTGCTTCCGCTGCACGTACTTACAATTACACTTAACTCACTAAAATGAAATATTACTTATTTCTATTAACGTGTGCGATGCTCAGAGGAGGGAGGCAGCGTCGGGACCTGACAGTCGTGGGTCTATCGGGCGGTGACATTATAAGTCACAACTGACGTGCACAAGGAAATGAGAAGTTCAATTTTTCCACAATCATCTGCTTCCGCTGCACGTACTTACAATTACACTTAACTCACTAAAATGAAATATTACTTATTTCTATTAACGTGTGCGATGCTCAGAGGAGGAGGCAGCGTCGGGACCTGACAGTCGTGGGTCTATCGGGCGGTGACATTATAAGTCACAACTGACGTGCACAAGGAAATGAGAAGTTCAATTTTTCCACAATCATCTGCTTCCGCTGCACGTACTTACAATTACACTTAACTCACTAAAATGAAATATTACTTATTTCTATTAACGTGTGCGATGCTCAGAGGAGGGAGGCAGCGTCGGGACCTGACAGTCGTGGGTCTATCGGGCGGTGACATTATAAGTCACAACTGACGTGCACAAGGAAATGAGAAGTTCAATTTTTCCACAATCATCTGCTTCCGCTGCACGTACTTACAATTACACTTAACTCACTAAAATGAAATATTACTTATTTCTATTAACGTGTGCGATGCTCAGAGGAGGGAGGCAGCGTCGGGACCTGACAGTCGTGGGTCTATCGGGCGGTGACATTATAAGTCACAACTGACGTGCACAAGGAAATGAGAAGTTCAATTTTTCCACAATCATCTGCTTCCGCTGCACGTACTTACAATTACACTTAACTCACTAAAATGAAATATTACTTATTTCTATTAACGTGTGCGATGCTCAGAGGAGGGAGGCAGCGTCGGGACCTGACAGTCGTGGGTCTATCGGGCGGTGACATTATAAGTCACAACTGACGTGCACAAGGAAATGAGAAGTTCAATTTTTCCACAATCATCTGCTTCCGCTGCACGTACTTACAATTACACTTAACTCACTAAAATGAAATATTACTTATTTCTATTAACGTGCGATGCTCAGAGGAGGGAGGCAGCGTCGGGACCTGACAGTCGTGGGTCTATCGGGCGGTGACATTATAAGTCACAACTGACGTGCACAAGGAAATGAGAAGTTCAATTTTTCCACAATCATCTGCTTCCGCTGCACGTACTTACAATTACACTTAACTCACTAAAATGAAATATTACTTATTTCTATTAACGTGTGCGATGCTCAGAGGAGGAGGCAGCGTCGGGACCTGACAGTCGTGGGTCTATCGGGCGGTGACATTATAAGTCACAACTGACGTGCACAAGGAAATGAGAAGTTCAATTTTTCCACAATCATCTGCTTCCGCTGCACGTACTTACAATTACGCTTAACTCACTAAAATGAAATATTACTTATTTCTATTAACGTGTGCGATGCTCAGAGGAGGGAGGCAGCGTCGGGACCTGACAGTCGTGGGTCTATCGGGCGGTGACATTATAAGTCACAACTGACGTGCACAAGGAAATGAGAAGTTCAATTTTTCCACAATCATCTGCTTCCGCTGCACGTACTTACAATTAACTTAACTCACTAAAATGAAATATTACTTATTTCTATTAACGTGCGATGCTCAGAGGAGGGAGGCAGCGTCGGGACCTGACAGTCGTGGGTCTATCGGGCGGTGACATTATAAGTCACAACTGACGTGCACAAGGAAATGAGAAGTTCAATTTTTCCACAATCATCTGCTTCCGCTGCACGTACTTACAATTACACTTAACTCACTAAAATGAAATATTACTTATTTCTATTAACGTGTGCGATGCTCAGAGGAGGGAGGCAGCGTCGGGACCTGACAGTCGTGGGTCTATCGGGCGGTGACATTATAAGTCACAACTGACGTGCACAAGGAAATGAGAAGTTCAATTTTTCCACAATCATCTGCTTCCGCTGCACGTACGTTGTACCGACTACCGAGTCTCATCCGTACGATAACGTTCGGCAAGCAAACGTGCTGACCAGCGCTATGTGCAAACACGGGCCATTGGACAGTTGTCCTGCAGAGTATGTGCTACCACGTTTTCCAGCGCGCGATATACCATACCGGGTAGGGTATGAGCGCGTAACATGCAAGCAAACGCGTAAATTTCCGGTTAAGTACCTACTCGTAATGAAACTACTGCTGTAACGTCCAGGAACGTGTTCGAAGCTGGCCCACCAACTGTTGGGTAGCCAAGCTACCTTCCGTAGTGGTAAGTTAAGCAGGCTGAACGCTTTCACACGGGCGAGGTCTAAGAAAATTAGGCTGGTCTTGGGCTTCGGGCGTCACTCGCTTCGGGCTGCAGATCAGATGTCGGTTCGATGTGGCACCTGGTGTGTAATATTTTCAGCTGCGAGACGTTGAATTGCTCTTCTGGTAACCCGCAGCGTCAACTGGGCAGTGTCCAGTATTCCTGCGAGTGGTTTAACATTATTGTTGTTTATAGTTCCTGTACAGCCAAACTGTTCTTTGCAGTCAAGGACATTTTACTGTGTCGCTGATCGGTGGTCAGTTCGAGGGTCACTATAAGCATGCTCATAAATAGTCCCTTAAAATCAGCCTGATCTTTTACTTCAGATTACAAGAAGACAAAATAGCGAAACATAGTTGTGGTAAGTGCTTTGAATTTTTGACTGCAAAGGTAATAAATTAATTTTTACGCCTTGCAGTCAGCCCGTTGTTGTCACATTGATACCGTGTGCTGTAGCTGACCTACAGCTACAGCAAGGTGCCGACATTCCGAAAAGAAAGTGGTTTCTCGACTGAAGGTTTGCTTGCCGACAATTCCTAGTTTTCACGGTCTAGGTCGAACGAGTGCAGGTACCGGGATGTCACTGGTTAAAAATTATTTCCATTTACGTACTTTTTTCAATGAATTCTTTGGTGAGTATATTTGATTTTTAATCAGATTTAATTATTCGCCATAATTTACCAGATATTTCAAATATGTTGACATGACATTATACAGATATAAAACATTAGGAAAATCAAGCACTTATACGAGTACATGGGGGCTGTCAGAAAACTACTTAACAGGAAGAGCTTACAGGATAAAGCCGAGCATAATTTCTATTCTGCAAATTTACTGTAGTTACCGCTCATGCAAAATTGACGAATGCCGACTGGACGAACCACTCGTAGCTGCCGAGATCCGTGCGCAGCCAGCAATCCACACGCGCCGGCCGACGATCGGCCACCCCGCTGACGGTGATGGTCAACGTGCTGGAGCAGAAGACTTCGGCAGCTCCTTCCGCTGATGCGTTGCCGTTAACGTTGCTTTGCAGCCGACCGGGGATGTGCGAGTGGACGGCAATGGGAGGCCGGTAGAAATCGGGAGCCGCCACGAACTGGCCGTCGTACTTCAATGAAGTGCGCGCTGGGCCCCAGCCGGCTGCAGTCGACGCGGCCGGTGCACGTCATGGAGAACTCCGGCAGCGGCGTGATCACATTGCGCATGGGCTCCGTGAAGACGTCGTGGGCGCGCAGCTTGGGCACCAGGTCATAACCCTGCACGAAGCACAGTTGTGGCTTTGGGCCGCAGGGCAGCCAACACTCCACCGTCCCGGCAGCTTCGGCAGTGATGTTGCGGATGAGAAAGTGGCTGGTGTCAGCGATAGACAGCTGCTGGTAGTGGTGACCTTTAGGGGGAGGCTGGGGCAGTGCGTCGCTGTGGAAGGAGGCGTTGTGGTAGAGCCAGACAACCTCCTGCGCCAGTTCGGGCAAGCCAGTCAGACAGGAAAAGGAAGCCAAGCCCCCCAGCGGGGCACGGACTATTGCGAGCTGCTCCAGTGCTTCGGCCGCGACTGCCTCCGGGAGCGCGGGCAACAGCGTGATGACGCTGTTGGTCATGTTGGCTTCTGCCTGCTCCACCATAGCTGCACGATCCACTGCAATGCAGGTACGCTATTCATACAAGTACGAGGAACATCTGGTTTGCAAGTATTCCAGTTTAGAATTAATTTAATGGAATTGGAACTAGTCTGGAACTGAAAACAGTAAATTATTGGAACTAGTTTGGAATTATTTTATTAAATCAAGATTTCCCGATATACGAGTATTCAATTAAGATTTTAGATATTCAATTAAGAAAGGAAATTTATTTAAGCTTGTGCTGACCATAGGTCAGCAGTGCCGAGTATGTCGTTTGCCAACGCCAATGCCCATGGACGGTCTACAGCATAAAATCGTTTTATTTTGTGCTAATTACGAACAGGAGGTACGCAGAAGCAACAACTTCGTTAAATAGTAAAAAAAAGCTATTTGAAAACAGCAGCATAAAAGTGGTCAACAAATTGGTCTCTGGGCGCAATAAGACGCCGTTGGCACCAGCGGATTTCCGAAGTTTGAATTCCTTTGCCGAGGTGGTATCGGCTGAATGGGGAACCCAGAATGCAGACGGTGCGAAAAACGGTTGTGGTGATTTTCTGATGTACAGTACATAAATGCATGTCTCGTAATTTCGATCTTGAAGATGCAGTTAGCATATAATTATGTTATTTACCGCGAAAATGGAGCTACGAACGACTGCCACTGCACTACGTCTACCACACCGTCAAGTTCACTCCTCTAACCAGGGAACATTTTCCCCCTCCAAATTCAAAAAATTCTCATGTTTTGTAAAATGGTAGTGCACTAATATAATATGCTTCAAAATATATTTTTATCTGCCATCGTCAAGGGGGCGAGGCCAGGCATCAATTAAAAGTTTGCTTACTATCACATACTGTTCTTACACCAATGCAATGAATGTTCTGGCATGTTTTCAATTTTTAAAAGGAATCTCAAAAATTTTAAATCCATTTTAAAGAGAAAATCGTGGAAGTCTCGACCGGCAGGAACGATCTTCATGGCAACGTGCGAAATTGGATGGATATCGGTCCATAATGAGACTATTGGTTCACCTGAATCATTGCCGTTGCTCTGGTCGTTGCGTAGAGGAATGAATGAACATCCCTCTCTTAACCGTTCTAATACCGATGGGGTGACTTTTAGGCAATACAGTTTTATAAATTCCTAAAGAATTGTTACAAAAATATTTCGCTTAGTCAAACCTTAATGTTTGAATGTGAAATTTTTTGCTCTATGTTTTTCATCTAATGTCGAAAGTAATTTGACCAGTGGTCGTGGCTGTGGGCATGGGGGCAACTTTTAGGCGAGTTCTGGCCGCCTCAGCTATAACCATCAGTACTTAAGAACCCGTGCATAAAAAATTAAACAAAAAAATCGTTTCTCGTAATAATGCTTCTGCTAAAAAATAAAATGGTTGGCAGCAAATTATAATAAACGACAGCCAAGATATCACGGAATTACGGGCGCACTTTCAGAGCGAAAAACTGGCACTGAAACCGCTTCTGCGTGCGGTAGCGATTGAATAGCTGCTAACGTGGCTCTTTCCGGGAGGCGGTTGTGAGCTACATACTAAAACTTGCTCCCGTGGTATTTGAAACAGCCAAACTCGGTCGGTAATACGGGGGTTAAGAGAAGAATGTTAAGAGAGAAATGTTGATTCATTCCTCTACACTACGACTAGAGCAACGGCAATGCCTGAATGCAGGGGCTATTCGAGACCCCCCTCGGCCATGTACTATTTTTTTAAGCCAAATCTGACCACGTATTAATGATCAGCGAATTTTTCTGATCTAGAAAGTATTTTTTAAAATTTTTTCCGGAAGAAAAAAATTCTGACTGCCAGCCCCCTTGACCCCCCACAGTATCATGGGCGGTAGCAATGGGATTAGGGAGACAAATTTTATTTTCGTCTCTTCCCCACTGCTTTTAGGTAAATCCATAACGCTGAATTCGAATTTGATGATAAAAAACTGATATAAGTAGTGTGGAAGAACTTTTTGTTGAGAATGGTGTCGATAATCGATGTTACATCATTTGTGTGAATCCTTGTTTGTTTTACGTAAATCTTTTTATCCTTAGCTCGTGTTATATTTTAATTATCAAATTCGAATTCAGCGTTATTGATTTACTTAGAAACAGTGGAAAAGAGACGAAAATAAAATTTGTGTCCTTAATCCCATTGCTACCGCCCATGATACTGTGGGGGGTCAAGGGGGCTGGCAGTCAGAATTTTTTTGTTCCGGAAAAAATTTTAAAAAATACTTTCTAGATCAGAAAAATTCGCTGATTACTAATGCGTGGTCAGATTTGGGTTTAAAAAATAGTACATGGTCGAGGGGGGTCTCGAATAGCCCCTGCATTCAGGCAATTAAACTTTTTGAATTTTGGTACCCTGATAGCTCCGCAGCCGGATGTTGTGCGTGAAAACAGATTTTACGCCAGCGTAAACAATGCTTTGGCTACAGAATATCATACAGCAACGCAAATAAGTGTTTGGAACTGTGCACGACAGGGAAAGTTCCTATGGATGTACACGAATATAGTACTATGTCCGGGCCAAATCCCATAAAAAAATTTAGTCTGTGCACTTCCTTTCCTTCATTCAACGTGACGTACCGGTTTCCAGCGTTTCCTGCGCATTCCGGACAGGTTGTCCACTTGTTAATGGCAACAAACACAGGTACAACATTAGAAGGTACATTACCGTATCCATCTACACAAAGTATTGTGTCTGATGTATTCGACCGAAGTGCACCGTTACTGGACGTGATCAAATAAACATTCCAGATGGTGTATGGAAGAAAAACAGAAAAAAACTCAACGGAAAGTATTATTTACAGTAATACTTTTGCACAACTGATTCCAGAACTGGTTCGTCATGCAGTGGAAACGCAGTCTTAACTACACCCGGCCCTAAGCGGATGTTGCTACGCTATTGCCAAAACGTTATAAATAAACGCCGGTCTTCTTCGCCGCGCAGTCTAAAGCCGTGTTCCCATCTGGCTGGTACATGTTGTGTGTAATACGCTGGCCAGGAAGAGACATCCATGTGTGGCGGTAAGACCGGCGATCGGCCGGTTGCGTCTTGTTTATACGTACTGCCATTGGCCGCTTTCTTTGGCTCGGACGAAAAGCAAATAATATTCTGACCAGGCGCCACGGGGGTGGAGCAAGTAACTGCTCACGGAGTTGGACTGCAGCCGCAGCAGAGATACGGTGCTTCTATTCCTAAACACCACGTACAATGATCATACTGATTTTTTGCGCAAACAAACAGCGTACTGGCAGCGGCAAACTAAGCTGCTCCAAGTACCGATTCCCCGGGAGTAGCGTCTACGCGACTTCTGGGGAATCTTTGTGGTCAGGGGGATGCTCCGAAATTGCGGATGTCTTAACGGCCGCAACTGCCAACCGCCACCGGTGCTCTATCATAAGGCTCTTGCCGTTGACTTTCGATCCGTCGGAACAGTGCGAATTTCGCAAATCTGGCAGCCTGTTGTTTTCTTATGTTAGCAGCGACTTTAATTATGTAGAATAGCCCGTGTCCGACCATTTCGGCACAGGAACATTTTGGCAGAGGAAATTTCGGCATAAGACAGTTCGTTCGACGTAAGGAATTTTGCATTTGGACACTTCGACACTCTGACATTTCAGCATGCTACTGTTTCGCAAGAATTTGGGCAAGAATTCTCAATTTTGCGCACTTCCAAATAGTTTTTGCATTGTTTTATGGCATTCTGCAGCCAAGTGATTAATTTTTCCAACGGCCAAGCGATTTGTCGACGGAGTTATAGGCGAAATAAAATTCCCAAAAATTTTAATGCATTGAGGTATAGAACAAAAGTACCAAAAGTCTCATTATAGACGGCCGACTTGCATTTAAATTTTTTAATTTTGCATTTAAGCAGTATACAGATTGTTTTACATCGAACCAGATTTCCATTATTTTTTTCAAATTTTGGAATTAATTTTAAAATTTTAGAAATTCATTTTAAAACTTGAAAAAGATGCTAGACCCCGGATTTGGTGTAAAATCGATCTTAGCACTATGTGCATTTACTCTGTACATGCAAACGTGTAAGCAGAGAGACTGTTACTGCACCCTCAAAAAATCAAGCTCTTGACATTTCATTTCCCCAGGTTCCATAATATAAATCATTTGACTGAAAAATATTTTAAAGCAAAGAAAAATCGCTTAGGAAGGCGGGAAGACAAAATTTCGCGTTCATGCACTCGCGTTTTGTGCTGTGCATTCGGGTCACTTCTCTTACGATTAATCAGGTTTCTTGAGCAGATTTTTACAGGCTCGCATTACAAGTATTAAGTCGGATGTGTCATGATAATCTGGCAAAAACTATAGAAGCACCATATTGATTAAAAATCTACCAGACAAAGCTTCACGGAGCCTTAAAGAAATTCGGCGGTATGGAACCGGAAACAGCGGCCGCGTCCAGTTTCTTATTTTGCTCTGTAGCTGCCAGATCACCGAAATTACCCCCACGGGGGCGTTATTAAATGTCAAGCGCTACAAAATAATAGGTGCACCGCAAACTCTTTCGTAAGAGTGGTAGTGATTTAATGGGAAACGATAAACGGACATACAAATACGGTAGCGTTCATTAGTAAACAGTTGTAGAAACTGTTTTAGGGTACTGCTCGCAAGGTGGTGCAACTGCAAATACCACAACTGCAATTTATTTGAAATATAAATTTATTTGAAATATAAATTTATTTGAAATATAAATTTGGAAAAAGACATAACACTTCGAAATGAATTCGAAAACATCTAAGAAATTTTTACTTCAAAGCAATCTAAAAAATGTAAAAATTTTACGCAAGCCAATAAAAAAAGAAAACATAAGAAACATAGATAATCCAAGAAATTTATGGTTATGAAAATTATGAATAACTGCTTAAAGATATTCCAATGACAGGATTTCGATAAAATACTGTAATTATCGAACAGGTATGCACTACTGGGGTGCAAAACGTTCATATGTTATGCCAAACGTTCTCGGCCGCTGCCAGTATGCTGTTTGTTTGCGCAAAAAACCCATATGATCATTGTACGTGGTGTTTAGGAATAGAAGCACCGTACCTCTGCTGCCGGCTGCAATCCAACTCCGTGAACAGTTACTTGCTCCACCCCCGTGGTGCCTGTTCATAATATTATTTTCTTTTCGTCTGAGCCAAAGAAAGCGGCCAACGGCAGAATAAACAAGACGCAACCGGCCGATCGCCGGTTTAGAGCTTTAATGTTTAATGTTTAATTGTTTAACGTCCGCAAACAATCTGGGTTTACACCCAATCCGAGGCAGCAGACACGACATATACTCGTACAGAAACGGAGAAAAAATAAAATAACCACAGTCCAACAAAAATAAGTACAATCAGCTCCCTGCTCGTAACCAAGAAGAAGCAGAGAAGATCACAGACAGCCAACAAGATAAATGAGTAGCGACAAATGGATGTCTCTTCCTGGCCAGCGTATTACACACAACATGTACCAACCAGATGGGAACACGGCTTCAGACTGCGCGGCGAAGAAGACCGGCGTTTATTTATAACGTTTTGGCTAGATCATAGCAACATCCGCTTAGGGCCGGGTGTAGTTAAGACTGCATTTCCACTGCACGGCGAACCCATTCTGGAATCAGTTGTGCAAAAATAATACTATAAATATTAGTTTCGGTTGAGTTGTTTTCTTTTTTCCTTCCCTACACGATCTGGAATATTTATTTGATCACGTCCAGTGCACTTCGGTCAAATACATCCGACAGAATACTTTGTGTAGATGGATACGGTAATGTACCTTCTAATGTTGTACCTTTGTTTGTTGCCATTAACAAGTGGACAACCCGCCCGGAATGCGCAGCAAACGCTGGAAACCGGTACGTCACGTTGAATGGAGGAAGGAAGTGCACAAACTAAAGTTTTTTAAGGGATTTGGCGCGGACATAGCACTGTGTTCGTGTACATCCACGGGAATTTTCGCTGTCGCGCACTTCCAAACACTTATCTGCATTGCTTTATGATATTTTGTGGCCAAAGCATTTTTTTACCTAGGCGTAAAATCCGCTCTAGAGCACAATATCCGGCTGCGGAGCTATCAGGGTACCAAAATTCAAAAAGTTTAAATGCATTCAGGCATTGCCGTTGCTCTAGTCGTAGCGTAGAGGAATGAATGGACATTCCCCTCTTAAATTCCTCTCTTAAGAGAGGGATGTTCATCCATTCCTCTACGCAACGACTAGAGCAACGGGAATGATTCAGGTGGACCATAAGTCGAATTATGGACCGATATCCTTTAAATTTTGCTCGTAAATGCACGCTACCATTTACCACGAAGATCGTTCTTACCGGTTCAGACTTCCACGAATTTTTTTGAATTTCAAAATGAATTTATAAAATTTCTGAAATTCCTTTTAAAATTTGAAAAACATGTCAGAACATTGCATCAGTGTAAGAACGATCTTTATTTTTATGTGCATTTACGTGCAAAATTTAAAGGAGATCCGTCCATAATGAGACTTTTACTACAACTGAATGCATTTAAACTTTCTGGAATTCTGGTTCACGCATAACTTTCCAACCGGATGTTGCGCGCGCAAACAGATTGCACGCCTACGTGAGCAAACCCATTGGCTAATTATGGCAATGGCTACAAAATGAAATAAAGCAATGCAAAAAGGTGGCTGGGTTTGCGCGACCGCGAAGTTGCCGAGGATGAGCACAAATTTGGTGCTATGTACTGGGCCAAATCCCCTAAGCAAAATTCCAAAGAATGAATTTTTAAGCTGCCAATTACGGTCCGTACAAAAGTTCAAGGAGAGACCAGATTCATGCCGGTTCACGGCATATAAAATTTCACGCTGCTCCGCTTCCCAAAGTCTCCGTTAATATTCCCTCCTTTGTCTTTAATCAACATCTTCTATCAATGTTGCAACGTTTAAATTTGTTTGGTTTTACAGTAGAACATGGGCATGTTAATGATGTTATACGAGTATTTTCGATTTTGATTGATCTTAATTAACTTGAGACGGAAAGTGTATGTAAGGCTTATAAAGAGGTGAATGTTATAAAGAGAATCCCTCCTGTGTTATAACATGGGAGCCAGTTCCGTTCCTTAAAGGTTGAATGCTATAGAGAAGTGTATTAATTTTAATAAAGAAGTGTATTTAAGAAGAGGTTTTAATGTAGATAACCATTCACCGCGCCTGGTGCACACAGAAGACACGGAGCTGTATGCCGCCGAGGGAACCAAGTACACCATCTTTGACTGTGATATCCACGGCAGTAAGAACGCCACGTCCATCACGTGGTTCCGCAATGGTTCGGCGATAACTCCGTCCGGGGACCCTGACAGCAGACGCTTCGTCACCGGAAAGACAGGCTTCATGCTGATTCTGCGTAATTTAACGTTATCCGATCACAAAAGTGTCATCGGCTGCCGACTAACCAACTCCCACGGCACAACATGGCAGAACGTGACCTTAATAGTCATTCCCGAAGCGGAACTAACGCAATACCAGAGTAAGCGCGGTCCGTTTCCGGACGGTGATGCGTCACATCAATCTGTCGAAACGTTAGGTAAGTGAATCTGACAACTGTTCCTACTCATGCTGACCTATAATTCGATATCGTAATTAGCTGGTCGGTTTGTTAATCTTTCCACGCTGACTACCGATATCAGCAGCGACATTAGCATTCAGTTATGCAACAAATAAATGCGACGCGAACCACAAGCTTGTCCCGTAATTTCTGTGTGCAGTTACAGTGGACGTCAAAATTTTGTTACATCTTATGAAATCACAATCAGGCACTTTTCTGTACTCAAACAGCAAAATTTGGGACTGGCCATCGGCCTGTTGACATTAACACTTGCACCTTGCGCATTTCCCAACACAAACCATCCACCAATATCTCAAACACATGAAAAAAAATTCAAGAATTTTGATACCAAACTGGTTGATTTTTGTAAGATCTAAGAGAAAATCGACGCATCTAAAGTTTGTCGTAGAGACGACCTGTTCTGTTGGTAGCGAAAATCTTGAAATTGTTTCCTCTTTCGTTTAAGATATCGGTTGATGGTTCTCGTTGGGAATTCCACAATGAGCAACTGTCCAAAGTCTTGCGCGTTTCCTGTTTATTGGTCATTCGGTCCCGGACCGGATGTAACAAAATGTTGACGTCCACTGTACATCTACACAGCGACAAAGGCAAATTCATGGGTTACGCCCAACTCCATACTACGGCGCGCATCCCCACACTATTGACGTATCGATCAATTACAAACCATGTATCCATATTAATGATAAAAAGTAATAATAATTTTCACTTTATAATTATCCAAATCTTTTAGGAGTGAACTTGCCTTTGTGGTAGACGTAATGCAGTGGCAGTCTTTCGTAGCGCAATTTCCGCGCTAAATACCATACATCATGAGATATGCTATCTGTATCTGCAAGACAGAATTTACGAGACATTCATGTACATACAAAAGAAACTCACCACAACCGTTTTTCTAACCGGACACATTTTGTTTCCCCCGACACTACCTTGACAAAAGTCGAAATTCGGAAATCCGCTGGTGAAAACGGCGTCTTACTGTGCCCACTGGAAGGATTTCCCAACCTGTTATCAGTATTCTGGACAAAAGATGGGGATGCTCTTGGAATTTTGAAAATGGTAACTGTTGCTAAAATGGTCAGAATTTTAAGCTTTGGTGATTCTATTCGGGCGTATTTCTGTTCTTGGTCAGCTATATGTAGCTTCGCCAAGAAAAATTTAGAAGTCAGAAATCATACTGCACGAATTCCTCTGACATTTTTATTGCGCGTAGGCGGAAAGGATTTACATGTCGGGAAGAGACTCCTCTCTGCGCATCAGTGCGCTGCAAGTGAGCGACAGCGGGCATTACCAGTGCACAGCCACGAATTTCCATGGAACCGCCGTTTTTAGCTACGATGTTGTTGTTGTTGTGTCCCACCAGTCTGGGACCTAAAAATTTTGTACAACCTTAAATCAAAAGATGCAGGATATGCATAAAATTTGGTTGGCGTGTCGTAGTGATTATATCGCACTTGGCCTACTGCATGCCTCACCCGACATATCGTTGCACAGTAACACGTGGAAGCCGGTTTTCTTGTTCCCGTCGTCCATCCAGCACTTGAGGCTCTACATTAACGCAATAACGGGGAATTTCTTATAAGTTCTTTGCAGGCTGGCTGCAAATTTCTATGACCACTATAATATTACGAGTATGTCTGACGTAATCTAGTACTGAGTGTGCCGAAGATCTTATTAATTTATTGTACGTAAGGATTAAGGAAGATCCGTGCAACAGCGCCGAAATTTTCACCATGATCGCATAAATCAAAGCAAAACCTTTTACCTGGTAATGCTAAACTGCTAAACTACAAAAACGATGCTAGACTACCAAAATGATCTACTACCTACTGGGCAAAAAATCCCATACTGTGTCAATGCCTCCCACGCAAGAACAAAGTGATTACATTATACGTTTACGACCTTAATTAGCATTGTACCGTTCACGTGTGCTCTAGCATTACGGACTCTAGGTCGTATGGGAGACCAAAAGTCTCCATTTATCTCAGCTTCAACGAGTTTCTAGCACCGATACCCGGCAGCATGTTGCTGGCATTAACTGTGAGTCTGTGACGTAGTCATTGCGATCCGGACGACTGTGCTTATGTAGGAAGCCCAGGGCGTGGAGTAGTTTCTGTTGGATGATATCTGTAGCCTGCAGGCAGAGCGTGTGCATCACAACACTTGTGACACGGCCGCGAATGGGACCGACGTCCGCCCAACACCTATTAACAGTCCAGATTGGAATTGCAAGATGACCAACGATTTTTAATCCACTTTACCTTCCTTGTACACGCATCCCCATTAAGCCTTTAAATAGGATGTAAGTACTCTGTCTCAAGTTTCCGAGGTTCGAAGGCCAGGCAGTCTCCAGTTCGTGGAATTGATCACTGTCTGACCTTTAAACCTCGAAATGAGTTTGCCATTCGATGACTTCTTTACGCCTCATCAATCGATCGAGTCTCGTTCACCTTTATCTGAAAACGAATGACGGTTTAGCGTTCAAATTGATTGCTTAATTGCTTTTTGAAGACATGCAGAAGTGCAAGCGGAAATGCTCGTAGCGAATCTCGGGTGTTTTTTATAAATAGTACCTCAGGGTTATCCTTTCTGTGATAGTGTGACGTGCTGACTGAACAACTAATTCCTCCATGTCTCTTGCGGCCTATGTATGTAGCTTTATTGAGAAAAAGTCAGTTGCTCTGAGTAAATTTCATGCGTGAAATCCCCTGTTATCCGTATGGGATGTGGAGTGCAACTGCCGGACTTTTTTGTGCGTTAAAGGCGCCGGCCAAATTTTTGGTGTTTTTTGGCCAGTATCTCCGAGCATCATGCACCCTCGCTGAGAGTTAATATACCATAATCTGTCCGGTTTCGAAATGGCAGTTGCATTTAGAAAAAACGGCTACACTATTATCCCATACTAATTTTTTTTTCGTTTTTTCTTTCTTTTTCTAATTTGTTCCAGTTGTCTCAGTTGACACTGGCCTTGTTGAAAAGCTAAAGGTCGTTCCGGCATTGTATTTGCGGATCCGTAGTTATCAACTACTGGCGCTAGCCGTTCTACACAGGGCTTTCGTAATCAAGATGCAACGCGCAACGATCGGGAGATTACATGCATGGATCCCGGTAATAATATTAGAATCCATGCATGTAATATCCCAACCGTTCTGCTGTTAATATTAACAGCAGAATACTTGAATGCGGCTAACGAAGGTATGGTCCAAATAATTTCCAATGTAGTAATCAATGATAATCTGGTGTGCTGTCTGCGGCTCTATCTGTACTTCTAGTGAACTTACTGCCCACATTTAAAACCATGTTCGTGTTCCTCGAAGATTATGTCGTTGTAACGACATCATATTTGAGGGACTCGAAAGCGGTTTCGATAATTTTCCGGACCTTACTGGATATCTCCAGCCAAAACGTTTCTGGCCTGCCGGACAGGATATTCCCTACCACATCCGCGGCTTCCGTAAGAGCTTCTGTTTGCTTTACCCACATTTTTACTTGTGAAGAATGCAAACGGTTTTCTCTGCTCTCCGCACAAACATTGGAAACTTTTGGCCATCTCGGCGACGCAGAGTCACTGATGCATTACGGACCGGAAGTGTCGATCAGTGCGGGACCAACCGGATGACGACTTGTACGCTATAGAATGCTAGAAGAGAACGAAGCCTACCATTTACCAGCGTTCTCTACTCCATTCACATCCAGTCGGGATTCTTCACGCTCCTTTATACTGTACTACCAAGGAAGTGCACCGCTTTTCGCTAGCACACAAGACCGAAGCGAAGCCCGAAACGATTGCACAAGAAGTTACTCCTCCAACTATGACACTGACATGCTATGCGGAAGTCGCACCGCGACAACCGCACTAGATGACCAAATCTACTCAATCGGTAGAGTGGGAATATGCTCTGGACTCCGTAAGTGATAAACGAACCTACTTCCGCCAGGTACGAGCGGATTGCTGTGCCTAACGAAGTTACCGAAACCAAAACACTCAGGAACTTCCCAAATGTTTAATCAACAAACAAACAGAACGGAACAGAACGAGATATGAACTTCCTTCTAACCTAGAGTCACACGACCTTTCAGCTAGAAACAAGCTCACAGATTTAGTTGAAGTTAGAAACTTCAGACTGATTCATTCACCAGAATCATGGATGGAATTAGCGATCAAATGCGTTAGATAAGAACAGCAAGTCATACGTAACGGAACAGACAACACGTACGTCATAACACGTACGTAATACGCGCAACTACGCATAGCGCGTTAACACTGTATAAAATTACCTCCAGGGCATGACAGGTCAGAGAAAGCAAGTGTCTCATTACAAACCAAACAAAACATTAGCTTTCTCCCTATGGAAATTTTTGCTTGTAAATTTGTTTACCGATTGCAATTTGTACTTATCTTAAGATGACTGGCCTCGAATTTGTCGACTATTAAAAAATCGATTTTAACCTTTCAAAGTACTTTTTTGCACTACTTGCTCTGTTCGATCACTTTACGTTCAATACCATTTTATTATTTTTACCCAGTTGCATTTACACTACTATTCATAATTCATTTCTGTTAATACCAGGGCCGTCTTCCCGTACAGAACGTACGCTCGTTGAAAACCGGTGTAGGAGCGTAAATGAGCGGAAATAGGCGGTTTGAACTCGGAGAGTTGCGGCACCTGGACTAACTGCTTGGCTTTCGGCGGTTAACATCGTTTCCCGCCCTGTTTCCTTTCACCGGCCCAAATAAACAACCAGTGACAACGCACGCGACACACCTACCGTCGATCGCCGATAATGACAGTTACTATGCATGCGAAAAATGGCCAGAAATGAGTTCTCGCAATCGGAATGGGTACACTTTAAATCCTTTAACGAGGAACAGTGCATAGACGTTTGCAATGTGTGGCTGTCCGACTTTAACGGACGGTTACGTGTGCGTCCTCGGTATTTCAATAGCAATAAGCTTTGCGAATGCTACATTAATTGTGAAAAACTCAGGGTCAAGGGCAGTGCACTCACCCGGAAGCACGTACTCATGAGTGGCCAGTTTATTGCAATTGAATAATTATGGGCCACTGAAGTACACCGCGTATTTGTGCATATGTTATATTACGACATAACATTTTGCTCGACGAAAATACGAGCTCCTCTTGCTGAAGTCATTTATCATTCCTGCACATACAGTATGAGTATAATAATGGCCGCCAACGGAAGAGCACTGTTGGCACCCGGAAATGCGCACTGCCTTAAAATCCTCGAAGCCCACCGCGAATCTCGGCAGCAGCAGCAGCGCCATCAAGGTAACGACGACGGACGGGCCATTATCCAACGACCATTTTATTCTGCTCCGGTTTCCGAATGGCAATTGCACTTGGTTTGGAGTTTCAGTGTAATTTTTTTTCTACATTTTGCCCAGCTGTTGCAGTGGGTGTTGGCCTTGTTGATAAAAGTGAAAGGTCGTTCGGGTATTGTATTCTTGTGTTGATAATTACGGATCCGAAGCTGGTTCCACTCAGCAGCTATGGGCGCTATAGCTGTTCGTAACATCCTCCGTGGCTTCGGTAAGCTTGCTCTTGTATTTTTACTGGTAAAAAAGGTGCAGTTTTCTCTCTCCATACACATAGACATACTCGAACATCGGTACATGGCAGCAAGGGCACCGGTTGTTTGCAGACTGGGCTCTGGCGAAAGAAACGAACGGCCGCGAACGGCCACGTTTGGCCTCCCCGACGACGTCGGGCCGCTGTGATGCATTATGGTCCGAAAGTGCCGATCAGTGCGGATCAACCGGCCATGGTGGCCACGATGGATGGGCCAGAAATTTGAGGTCAGTGAAATAGATGGGGCCAAATTGCAAGCAGCGTATAACGGTCCGCATGGCGGTCGGCTAAACGCTGTTGGCAATTTACCCAGGGGAATTTTTACGGCCTTTGCCGAGCAACCGCGAGAGCGACGTTGCCACAGTCACAGGGGGCATGCCCCTGCCCACCACCCACAAGCCCATCTCGTTCAATTTGTCAAACGGAATGATTATGGAAGTATTGCGGACGGATGATGGCCGCCGGCTCTAAGACTATAAGTCTTACCGGCGTCCAGCGAATCCGCCTCTTCCGGCATTCACATCCAGCCACGTTCCTTTCACGCCGCTGCTTCTCCGGTAAGTGTCCATGGGACTAGTCACGCACCAGCTCTGCGCCGACGTACGCTGTCCGGCAACGTCAAGGCCTAGCGTTTAGTGTGAATAGTGCTGTCTATCCCAGAAAGGTCACTGTCCTGTCTTACGTGGCGTCGATTCAGTCGGCTGCCGTGCAGCACTGTCGCCTGGCACCATAATCGCTAACAATCCTTAGTAAGAGTAGGATGTAGCGCATACGGTCCACGATAGTCCGCTATCGACAGTTCTCGCGTTGTCCCTGAGCCGCTACAGTGGACTTCACAAGGGGGGTGACACCAGCAGCCGGGACCGCTTTGCATCTGTATGGGAAGGTATGCGTAAAGCGTTAACAGTATAAT